AATTTGGTCATCTTGGGTCGGATAAGATCATGCAGTAATGAGAGTTGAATTTTCCCACGATAAAATGAGCAAACCTTATGATGTCTTTAAATTTCACATTGCATCAAATGTAAATATGAAGACCAATATTATGCATCTGGAGCTGTAGCAATTCCGCAATCTAACGCCGGACAACATGGCCTCTTGCATCATGTTCAAGTGGAGAAAATGAATACAGAACCTATCTTCAGATTGCCTTGTCCACCAAAAGACTTTCTCATCTAGAGCTTAATGCAGTTTCTACCTCTCCTAGGTCTTATCAACACCCATAATGTGATTCTAAATCTGGTGGTGTAAATAAACAGACAAACATTTATCATTTAGCTATACAGAAATGGGTTCCACTAAGTTACATTACAATGATAAGCTTCCCAATTCACACTGAAAGTGGGAATTTCGACAAGGTAAGCATGTATTTACCATAAAATTCAATAATGTCACACCATACATTCTGAATGGCACCCTGAATAACGGGCAGCAAGGCTACTTGTTGCTACTTATCACCTGCGACCAAGTTTAGAATCTTGTTGGCACTGCTGAGAGGACTCAGGCGAGACCGAAAATGAAGCAGACTCCTAAGAAAAAAACTTTTTGGGAACAAGACGATTTGAAATGTAAAGGCACTATGAGGTCTATTCACTTTATAGTATGAAATTTCAACGATGTTCTACACCAGTTAAGACTATTGCTCTTAAGCAAGACCTACTGGAAGCCACTACGCCTACTCATTATGATTACGCAAGTGTTTACAATCACAGCAATGATTACTAGTGAATGAGTGGTATGTTAGCAGGAGCAACGATGAAGATGATGAGTTGAATGCTGGAAGAGCTAATGTTTGTGCCTAGGTAGCCTATGACACGTGAGACATATCTATACGCCTTAACCTTACATTGGTGAATAAGTGAGACTTAGATAAGTAGGATTTACCATAAAGCAAAACGACTTCTGACATTCATTCTGGTTACGTCTTTAATAGGCTACACTATGAAATTAAAAAAAAAGTATTTTAAGAACTGTATTCACGCTATCACGTTTCAGGTGATGAAAGACTGGTGGTTGAATTCTCTTCTAATGATATGAATAGGCCTAAGTTTCCCTTCTATTTCACATAGCCTTGCCTCCAGAAGGTATTTCTATCCAGAGTGGACTGCAGTTTCGACCTCGCCTAGGGCTTATCAGTGTGCTCAACATTATCAAAGTTGGAGTCCCGCTGGTGGTGCTGATGAGGGTTAGGCGTGCTCGAAACCGCCGTCCACTCTGGATGGGAATGCCTTTTGGGAAGCAAGGCTATGCTAAATGCAATGGAAGAGTAAGACCTACTTATATCATTGTGGGAAAATTGAACTACCAGTCCTTCAACGCATTAAATTAAATAGAACGAACATAGCTTTTATATCAGTCTCAAAAAAAACTATTTATGAAATGAAAAAAATATTTGAATTTATGGAGACCAAGATGGTGTGACCTTTTGTATGGTCGCAGTCTCCTTTTGTTGTCTAGTAATTGTTTGAGCTTGTTTATGCAGCTTGGTCATATTGGCAGGAATACTGGAATAGAGGGCCGCATCTAGTCCGGAGTCCATAGTATGCATGATAAGTTCCAGCGTCGGAAGGTGAACATGGTACATTCTCAGACGCTTCGCCGACATCGTCAGTGAGCCTTGCCATTCTCAGCATCCGTCTGGTAAACATATGCGGTATCTCTTCTTCTGTCCTATATCCTCGTGTCACCCTTTCCCTATCACAATAGCTTACTTGCTCATTTAAAAGTATATTTTTTTAAAAGTATTGCCGTCGACATGCCCCCCAAGGGAGCGTTTTGATCCTAACTCGAATGGAGTTTCCTCCATAGTCTAGGCCTCAGTGTGATTCAAACACTGGATACACTGACTCCAGGGACAAGGTTGCATTCTAGACTCCACGACTTTGGACTGCTTTTGGATTCAGTGCTGATGTGACTTTTAAGGTCAGGCCGGTCTCTGAACGCGCATATTCACAGTTTCAATTTATCTGAGATCAAAGATCTTATTAACATTGTATAGAGCTTGTGAGATCAAGGCTTTTCCTCGATTTTTACTGGGCAATTCGGCTATAGGTTTCTACCAGAAACTGCGA